AACATAAACAGCCACATCATGAGTTCGATGTGTCGTCGTCCGACGCTCCACCGTCTCCAAACTTGCCACTTCCACCTAAGTTGCAGAAGGTGGAGAAAAGCTCAGTGAACTTATCCAAGCCAAAGTATTTTGGGCCGACAAATCCGGCCCAAAAAACTGGTCGATCGCCAGTTCTGTGCCGAGCCAAAATTGATTGGTCTGACCATCGATAAACTCTTCCATTTTCTTCATGGTTGCAACCTTCTCCGACAAAAAAATGTTCTCATCCTAAGCCAAGAAGATCAACACGATCACACCCTTCAACTCCTCAGCAGCAGATGCCCAAACCTCGGTCGCATTCGCCCACTCCACAATTACTTTTACTCGAGTCCTGAGAACCCTAAGCTTCTTCTATGCTTTTTGTTTGGCCCCCTTAACATCAAGATGACAAGGAGCTTCAGGTGGTTAGATGATGTGTACCTGTGAGGTCCAGCAGCCGGTAGCGTTCAACAGAACGGTAGAGGTCAATGGGGGTAACAGTTGTCCAACCTCTCTTCAAATCTCTCGAACCAGAGAACGATCGCGATGTTTGAAGCATATTTGTTGGCGCCCTAGCCAACTGTGTATCAGTCTCTCTGCTTGTCGATAAGGTTGAAGTGGGAGTCCTTGGCGATAAACACCTTTGATAGCTCTTTTTGCATAGGAATCCAACCGCCTGAAGCTCCTCTTTGCCTTTTCCTTATGGGTGGGGAATGATTATCACCCAACTCGTCCAATGGGTCTTGCCCTATCTTTATCGGGCTTCATCAGTATCAGATCTCTGACTCCACCCGAGCCTCTTCCTCCCCAGTTGTTTCCTCAGCAGTCGATGTAGTCTCAGCCTCCTGCTCGACTTCAGCAAGAACTCCTGGGGACGGCCGACTAGCCTCCCCTCTCATAGAATTGTCTACGAAACTGGGGAGGGTGGTCTACCTTGGGTCGTTGGGTCCTAACCTGACTGATCATCAGGTATCCCTCGACATCATCCTTGGGAGTATGGTCACCCTCATCCTCATGAGCCCTTGTAGGACTCAAGTTCATGAAGGCAAGTTTTTGTTCGATCGGAATGAGTTATCCAATGGAAATCCTTTGAATAAATACAGTGGTTTCAAAAATGGAGTGAGCATAATCCAGACTTGGAAGATCAACATCCGGATAGGTGGCTCCCTCCTCTTCTTCCCTCGCCTCCACTAAAACCCTCGATCGGGCTGCCTTCTTGTGCGGCTTCTTCTGTGTAGGTTGGGAGAGCCTGTATAGTTGCCTTTTTTCTCTGCATCTGAGGTGGCCCAGAGCTCCACGATCATTGCCCCATACTTGTCTAGGTTAGGAACTATATTCACGATCACCCCCATGGTGTACTGCATCACGGACAATTGCCTCCCCTCAATCACCGAAGATAGAGACCGAACTTATAGACTCCTCAAGTCGGTCAGGCCAGGAACCCCGGTACTTGGCCGACCCAAGAATGAACCAATACTTCAAGTGAATTATTTTGTTCTCCAGACCAGTCAGAAGAAGCTTGTCCGTCAAACCAAAAACTACATAGCCGTCAGATGCAACCAAAAAGAAGAAAATGTTAAAGAAAATTTTTTGGGACGACAGAATCTTCATCCATCGACGGCGAACCATGTAAGACATGATCATAGCGATTGCATTTGGCTTGATCCAGGATGGATTGAAGCTCTTTGCAAAGCAGCAGTCAAGGACCCCGATGGAGCTGGTTTCAATAGAAAATCAAGTCGTTCCAAATTTGTTGGTCGCCCAATTGTACGAGCCAACAGTGCGCAATTGAATCCTGGCGACACAAGTCTTCTTAACTGGGGCAGTGTTGACCACAGTTAGAGTAGATCACTCAGCCACAGGAAGACTCTTGAACTGCTTTAGAGAATTGTTGGCCACAAGAACAAAGGATAGAAGAGCAAGTGAATGGCAAGTAGGCGACTGAAAGAAAGGACGAATGTTGGCCACAAGAACAAAGGATAGAAGAGCATGTGAATGGCAAGTAGGCGACTGAAAGAAAGGACGAAAGGAATCAAATGTGCAGAAAAATCCCATTGTTAACCCTTATATATAGGGGGTAAACAGAAGTTCAAAAGCCACAGCAAAGCCACACATCAACTTTAAGAATCCAAATCGCATCAACATAAAAATAGAGAAAATATTGAAGGTTGAAATTAAAATTTTCTAAAAATTAATAAAAAACACATCTTTATTCAAATAAAAAATATTTTACAAGCGGGTCCACAGCCATCTCCACCGAGACATAGCCTGCTGAAGCAACTTCTCATACATCACAAGCCCGTCAAAACCTAAACCTATCTGCAGTGTCGGATTGAGCTTGGACCAGCGGGACCGAACAAGTGACCGGCCATCAACTAGCTCAACTCGAAGAGCCACTAGCTCTAACTAGTACTCCAGGCTCAGGGCCGCCAGCTTCTCCCGGAGCATCTCCATCTCCGCAGTCGGCTACAAGTCGTCGGTTTCCCTTTCAAGGCTCTTTAGAGGGTCAACCGAAATATCGACCGCCTCTTCTCGACTCGATATTTGAGTCGAGATCCCCTCAGCTGCACCAGAAGCAAGAACTCGGGCAGCATCTAGTAGAGGCTAGTCAATGCTCAGGATTGCATTGTCTGCATCAATAAACAAACAAAAAGATAAGGTAAAAATCACAACAGATCATCAACATATACTTGGGGCTTGATAAAACTCGGGCCACCGAAACACGGGACAACTCTCATCAGGCATTGGTGGGGTTTCTACGGCCGCTTGACCAAGGTTTGGTTCCAGAAACACAGGTTCTTCATTTTGTGGAGCGCCCGCCAATTTACTCTCAAGGGCTGTTTTTTAAACCGTAGACATCTAATCAAAAGGAAGCGAGACTCTAAATGTTCCCTGGCCAGCTGGACATCCAGGTGAGTGCTAGCCGCAGCAAGTGCAGGGGTCGGCGCATCAACAGGTTATCGCCTTCCTTACGCCAAAAAAGGGACCACGAGTCGAACGACGCAACCTCGTCCCTAGAATATTCCAACCACTTCTTCTTCTAAGTGAGTTGCTTAACTCGCCTCACACCTTCGGGCCGACCTCCTTCCGTCGGCCTCTTTGTTATCCTGGGTTCCTTCACGCCTTCAAGTCTGCTCCCTTCACCTGACTTCTTTGTTCTGGTCTTCTAACTCTCTGTGCAGTTGCCTCCCTCCATTCGCTTCTTCCACTCTAACTCCTTTGGTGGGCTTCCGACGCAGAGTCGCCAAAGGCTTTCACCAAAATTTCCCCGATAATACAGTCTTCTAGGGTCTTCTTGTTGCTTCCCATAGAGATCTTCCTGAAACTAACTGAATAAACAACGCGCTCTCAAACAATGAGGATAACGAAAGCACCAATCGTGCCCTATCTATAAGGGCCATAGACAAGAAAATTCAAAAAGTTCAAATACTAAAGTACTGATTACTAATATAAATGAATAATTTTTTAGCGCTTATCGCAACATGAATTTCAAGAAGCAACAGAATTGGGATACTAAATATGTATCTTAGAAATATTTCAACTTGAATCTCGAGAAAATCCAATTAACTAAAAGACAAGAAAAACAGTCAAGGATGGCCCATCAAAAGAATAGGAATCACGTCAGTAAAAGACTAAAGAATTCAGTTGACCAGCTACAGCTCCCTCAGAACAGGACTCGGGGATGACCGAGCGAAGGTCATCCAAGTCAAAAATTGAGACTTATTGAATAGAGAGAAGGAACCCGTCCAGCTCTCGTTTATGCATCAACAAACATCTCATAGGAATCACCAAGACTCTTCAAGAGGGAAAAATTTATCATCTATGCATAATAATTAAACTCTCTAGATGGATCTCTTGTCAAAGGGAGAGATTACCTATCAGATTACGATGATTCTCCCTCTGTCCGACAGCCTAATTCTACCCCAGCAGCCTGAGTTTATCATCGAATGCTCAACAGTTGATAGTCAGAATGAATCAACCAACCGAGCAAAATCCGAATGACCGAAGGATCACCAGAGTCGAACGGCCGCTTTAGCTCAGCAGAATCGGCCGAACTAACCTTGTCAACTGAAGGATTATAAATCTCAGCCGACCGAGCGATAGGGTATTCGTACCATAGGCTTATTTATTTTCTACATGACTAAAATATCTTATAATACCCCCATAAAAGCGACGGCAACTACGTAATTGTTCAATTAATGTCCTCTTGCATATAAGCAAGGGGACATTTTTATAATAAAGGGTCTATCAGTCAATTTCAAACGAATCAGATTCTTATCGTCTCCTTCCTTTCTCTCGCCTATTTTAGCCTCTATTCCTTAAGTGTAATTCATAAAACAGATCCGGATTAAACAACTCTCATGCCAATCTCAAGCAAATTAAGAACTTTGCTGATTAAACCGTCCATATATATTTACATATTATAAACAACAAAAAACTGAAAAATGTTGAAATTATGTAAATTATCTCGATAGATATATCATCTATTTCGCCGGTAAGGCAACGTTACAGTCCCTAAAAATTAGTACCTAAACGCGATATAGATTACCAGGCGTGTTTCAAAAATTCTCCGTATTTAGGTTGAATACTTGATTCACGTCAATAATCAAATGAAAGATAGAGTGAGTCAATTTTTGAAGCGACATAAAGCCCTAATTAACATCACAACCCAACAAAACTTTGCTACCAACTTCCGTAAAACAGAATAAAAGCTTCCTAGCAAGCAGAAAGCAGCACCACAGATAATAAATTTAGTTCAACAGAGAATCTCACTTTCGGCCCCAGAAATTCAACAATCCCATTAAAATTTATACAAGTTAAAATTCAATAAGTCAAAAAACCAAATTCTTAATGCTCTGCGCCTAAAACAATCCAGGGCAATATCGTCACTTCCATTGCAAAAAATACTGACCTAGGGCAAGTAAAACGGTTCAAATTGAAAGATAAAGTGACATAATATGCACAAATAGAGTATCACTGACTCTGCGAGATCGCCCAGTTGCCGCAAGATCCCGACGAGGCCGGAGACGGTGACTCCACCCAAAATGTTCATGGGATCCTCCTCCTCCTTTGGAGCTCCCTGGTAAAGCCTGGGGTCCCCCAAGCCGTACTCATTCTTTAACTCAAATCGAACTAGCGGCATTCTCCTCAGCTCTTCTCTCGCTGCTAAGGGAAGAAAAGTGTGGAGGCGGCGGACGGCGAATGGCGACAGTGCTCAGCCAGCTAAGACCGTAACAATATACTGTGGTGTGCTTTTCTCTCCAACTTGATCCAGCTAATCAGCACACTTCCACTGGCGCAGACTTGCACCACCACCATTTTACATTTTAGGAGTTGCCCCATCACCTTCCGATAGGGCTGTACGCTAGTCAAGCCATAGTCATTCTCAAATTGAGCTGAGCTTCGCTAATCGTGGAGATTTAGCTCCAATTTAATTTTATGAAGTTCAGATATTAATTCAAATTAACTTTATGCTAATATGATAATTTGATTTAGCACTTCATAGATAAATAATTTAAATTTATTTAATATAAAATATAAAATATAATTGTACTTATATTAATTCATAAAAAAACCTCTTAAAAATTTTATATACTTTTTGTGTATTTTATATTATCATTCTTTTAAATGAGCTGGCTTATGGGCAAATGAGTCTAAGTTGAAGCAAAATTGAACTTGATAGCTCATGGAGCTCACCTGGTGAGCCACTTATGAAGCATTGTCTGAGCTGACTCGTGAATCTGTTTGGTTCAATTACACTCCTAACTTCTAATAAATATTGCATGCCTAAGAATTCATGGTGGTAGTGTGAGAAATCAGCACATGGAGCTATGCACTTGAGCCACTTATTAAGCTAAACCCCAGCTAACTCAAGAGTTGGTTGTGTTCAATTACACTCATAGCTTCTAATAATTTGTTGCATACTAGAAAATTCACGATAGTATAGTAAGAAATTAGCTCAGGGAGCTCAACTCGTAAGCCACTAATTAAGCTAAGTCCAAGCTAACTCGTGAATCGGCTTGGTTCAGTTACACTCATAGCTTCTAATAAATTGTTGCATACTCATGGTGGTAGAATAAGATATTAATGTCCAGTATTGGATGATAATGTAATTGATAGGAGACATCAAGTTTTTTTATGTAAAGAGTGAAATTTCATGGGGTCTAATTCACTATATATTTGAAGTTATCGAGTTACACTCCTCTCTCTATCTTAGAGAAGATGGGGTATAGAAATATGAGCACTCTCTTCTTTTTCTTCTATTGTTACAACAAGGTTTTATAAATATCAAATATGCTCATATTACAACATCAGGCAACAATAGTCTAAAAATAAGTCAAGTTGCAACAATTGTTGGATTTTGGTTGAGCTATAGTAACCAATAGTGATGGCCGGCAATGAACACTAGTGGTCTTCGATTGCTAGCTCTCTTTAAAATTATGAACTCAGCTCTGAAATTAAATTATTATATTCCAAGGAAAAATGGGATTTATTTATAGTTTTTTAGTGTCGTTTTAGTGAATTTAACTAAGATTTTAAAACACTCAATCAGATGGTCCATGAAGATTAATTCTATCATAAGTCGTACTTCTAACACTCAATCAACTTAGTGATTCTTCTCGACTAATTACTCGGTTTGACTATAATTATATCCAATTCAGATATTGTTTGACATTTTAATTAATACTTCAAAACTTTAGTGCTTTATTTTGGGCTTATTTGAAATTGGATTTAACACTTTTGGTGTTGTTTGATTTGAATTATCGAGATATTCAATTTGGTTATAATGCTGTTAAAATCAAAGTTGAAATGATTTTTAATTTAACTTTAAAAGCTTTTTTTACCCAATATATATCGAGATTCATGTCTAATTAGGTGAAATTTTTAAATGAAATATCAATTGTCTCATTATTTTTGGACATCAAAAGTTTGTTAGTCTAAACATATATCAAATGTCTTTGAAAAAGTTTAAGCACAAAGTTCTAATATTAGAAAGATCATAAGTCACGAACACTCATAATTTTAAAAAGAATATCAGGTACAAATGTTTCTTGAACATCAACGTGGATCTCCATTCGAGGTCGTGAACCAAGTCTTAATAGTAATAATTTCAATCGTCCTTGAAAACCTACCATAAAATGAGAACTATTGAACTTCTTGAATCACTTAAGAACTATTGAATTTTTTGAATCACTTAAATTTTGTTATAAATGCTTCATCAAATTTTTTTAGGTCTCAAAATTGAGTTTAAGATATCAAAAAATGGTGGAATCGACATATCGAGGCCTAAGCTAGTCCAGGCAACCAAAGTCCTAGGAAATAGTGTGCTCACACACACACATATAGATGATCTGTGCAAGCACAATCAAGCATTATGCAAACGAACGCAATCAAGCTTTGTGAGTGGCCATAATCGCATTTATACATGAATGTACTTGTACAATCACACTTGGCTCAAGCAATTATTATACTAGTCATGCCCGATATGAAGAATATGAAGAGGAAATATCACATATATTTATTTATAAGAATTTGAAAAAGAAAAGGTTATGCATTTAACTAAGAATTTGAAGATGAAAGGTTATGTATAAGAATTTGAAGAGGAAATGTTTAAATTCAAAATTCTTTTAATTGTAAAAGTTAAAAAAAATATCGCAAATTTTTTGAAAATATTGAAAAAAACATTATAGCTCCTCTCATTATCTTCAAGTACAAATACCAGCTTGAGGAAGAGAAAAATTCACTCTTTTAATCTCTTTTCAAGCTTTAAAGCTTAAGTGACATGAAGAATTATAATCTTCAAGCTATTATTGTTTGATTCTCATCTTAAAATCATTGTCGTGTGATTATTACCTTTCAGTTGTAACTGTCATATTACTATTTATTGACTATTTTTTCTTGATTTTTACCAGCAAGTTTGTTCTTGTGTGATTATTATCTTCAAAATATTATTGCTTGATTATAATTATATGGTTCAAGAGCACCAAATTTACTTACATTATTGAATAATATTTTTCTTAAGAGCATTTTTCACTGTTTTGTATAAATGATGCAAATCTTTCTCTTTAAAGGATCCATTTTTTTTTGTAAGAGAAAATATTTTTCTGCTTAGGCAAAATTTAGTTCTTCCTTCTGGGATTGATTGTGTCCCTCCTCAAGGCATAGAGTTGTCTATCATCGATAGAGTTTTTGTCACTAAGACCTATAATCTTGATGGTTAGGCTTTGATCTATCACATAAAGGAGGTTGACTCTCTTCATTTGGATGAATTTGGATCATAATGATTTTAAGTCACATTAATAATATCAAACAACACTATTGAACATCATTTAAGGTAGATTTCAATGGAAAAAATATTTCCACTCCAAAGGTAAGGCAAAAGTTTTGATAATTTGAAAGTTATAGAAAATCTTATATAACAGTCACTGTTGAAGTTAAAGTGTTTATACATATCAAATATTTTACCTATAACAATACTTGTAAATTATTGGAAGTAGATTTGCTTCATAAACTCTTAGTCTTTTTCTAAAAGTAATCAATGTTCAGAAGAACAGTCCCTCTGCCCACCCCCACCCCTATATAATACTAAGCTCTTATATTTTATTTAGATGTGTAAATCCAATGTTTTGTTGGAAATATATTGCTCCTTAGTATGAGCAAAGGGACCTTCTTAGTTTATGAGATTTATGTTATTTGAGATTTTTTTAATTTTTGTATATTGACCTTATAAGGCTTGTACCCTTTTAAGATTATTCATGTACATGTACATACTTAGGCTTACAACATTCTAAGACAATCTAATGTACTTATATCTTTTAAGACTTTTAGTAATATAATATTTTTAAATTAAGAACCAATTAAGCATATGACATCATTGAGTCCTTCTAGTGAAAATCTAGTCCATAGTTAACTTTACATCATGGCTTCTTCATAGACATGCCTTTTAGTGCTATAGGTAGAGACTTTGTTTATGATTAGTCCTTATAGGTTTTTTTCTAATGAAGATGGTGTCACTATTGAGGATTTCTATTGGTTGTTCATTAGAGGAGAATTAATAAAAAAAATTATAGTATATATAAATGATATCTATTAGTACGATGAGCAATGTCATTAGCTAGTGTTGAAGATGCTAAACAAAATCTACCATGAATGTCTCACATATCTGAGGTTGTTTGTTGGAGTGATGAATTGTGGACCCATTTGAGGTTATTTGTTAGAATGTTGGTCAATAATGATAACCTGTGTAAAAAAAAATATTAAAGAAATATGCATAGGATATTTGACATATTCAAAACTATTTGTCAAATTATTATTCAATGAAGTTAGCCTATGTAGAAGCGGTTAAATAAAGTTCATAAAAAATTGGATCTATTTGAGACTATTTTTTAGAGTATTTCTCGGTGACATTAGTCCAAGTGGAAGTGGTCAAAGAAAATTCATAAAAAATGTTTGGCTTATTTAAGGTTATCTCTCAGAGTGTTAATCCACATAATTAGCTTGTGTAAATGAGATCATAGAAAGTACGCTAAAGATGTTTGGTCTATCCAAGTCTATTTATTAGAATTTACTCAATAATATTAGATTGTGTGGAAGAGGTTGAATATAATCCCCTTAGAATTGATTAAAATTTGATTATGAAGTGGTGATTGTTGTATATATCTCAAATCATATAAAATTTTTGTTTGTATGAAATCATTCCTACACTTTTGAGGCCATGGCTACATCCTCACTTATAAAGTAAAAGTTCTTCTAGAGGTTATATGTAAAAATTGGAACTATTTATAAAATATTTTGTATCTATAAGAAACCTTAGGAGAAGCAATTATCAATAAAACAATCTTGGATTTATGGAAGAATTTTAAATGAATTACAAGTCTTACTTGATTGTTACTCTGTTAGAGATAGTAGCATGAACATCTTACATGAGCTATATTTAGGATTACCTCTCAATGGTAACATACTTCCCATCAAAATTGTGAATGATAAAAAGTGGGGACTCTTTTGATATTAAAATAAAAAATGCTCTATACTTGTCGGTGCTATTTTTGGTTGGAGAGTTGCTCGTAAGAAGCTGTCGGTCACCAGAATCGAAATCCCGACGCCCTCTTCGGAAGGACATTTTACTTTTTATATATGTTTAGTTTTAGAAAAATATGAAATCAAACTGACCCCATATTTTTCATAGTTTAAATGAAATAGCACTGTACCTCAAATCTTCTATCTATCCCGAAAGATAAACACAAGACTTGAGGATGAGGCTTGATAAAAAAAACTAAGGAAGATATGACATCCATTTTATCTGTGAAACCTTAATATTTGCTGACAAGTTCCCCTATTTAAAATAAAGAATTAAATAGGGTTTATATTAATTTGGGTTCGGACATGCTTCCAA